CAAATTATTTTCGTATTAGTGTAATAGTGTGGTATAATGAATTATAATAAAATATAGAACAGAAAATAAAAAAACATGAAACTATAGAGACCTTAAGTATTAAAATAATTGAGATAGCATAACAAAAATAACAACTTACTAAGAAAGATGGTGAGACAAGTCTCTGGCTGAAGAATAGGTGCTCGGCGATGTCCGCAAGATGAACAAACAAGTTCGTTTGCAATAACATGATGACTCTCTTCAGCCCATGGTGAAAATATCCGCATTTGATCTAACCGAGACCGGGGTAGGCAGAGATTTATAGGCACATGGGATTGGTTAAAGTCGCCTCGAAGAGCATCCGACTGAAAGTTAGTTTTGCGAGTAGTCCCAACCATATGTGAAACAACGGGGGAAGAGTAACTTGCCTCCTGAGCAGCTATCGTGGAAGTAGATACAGTTGCGCAATCCAGAGGGAGGTCGCTGCGATGAAGGCATCTAGGAGGAGAGGGCTGCATGGGCGATGGGAATAAGTCAATTAAATTATGAAACCTAAATAAAGAAGCTAAGCAATTTTCAACTAGACTTTGATGCTGAAAGTAAGCTTGAGTCATGACAAGATTTGATAAGCATTCATGAAGGAAGCTTATACGATTGTAAAGTAAGACAAAGTATAGATGAGGAAGTGCGAAAAATAGAGAAAAATAGTTCGGAAATGAATTAAAGACATAAAAAGGAAGCATATCGAAGTAGAAAAGAGATATGGGACAAGTACTTGAACATCCAAAAATACATTGATAAAAATGGGCAAACCAGGCTTCTTCCAAGCCACATTAATAGCCACTTTAATCGACCTGGGGTTAATAAGTTCTCATTCAAAAATTAATGGGTCTCGAAATATACTTATACGGAAAACAAGCAACATCATCGAGTGAAATATATTACTTAAACGACAATCCCACAAAAATGTCATTTAGGTGAGGCCTGACTTACCTTAAATGCCACATCTGCCCAGTAGCCCACTGGCATCTGTGGCTATTTAATGGAGTGGTAACCAGCCACGATACTCATGACTTGGAATCGAATTCTATTAGAGGTGCTGATTTGACTTAGCAAAGTTGAAGCATCAATCCATACTAGATGAGATCGCTTTCTTGGAGGCAATTCCACGTGAAATTTAATGTAATCCTGAAAACAAGAAATTTCAGTGGGGGGAAAACTCAGCCATCATACCTCAACTTACCTGCAGCGACTTAGTGATTAAATTCTTATTTAATGCTATTTAGTTGGATTGACCTTATCTTCATTTCCATCATTTCCCTTATTTGATCAACTCTCCTCAACATCTAAATTCATAGCCTGAATGAGTCCGATATATTGAAGTGTGCTTCTCTCTAACAATTTCGTATAGAGACGAAGTTACCATCACCGCCAAGTTTTATTTCGTCTGCACATTTTTCTGGTCCAAAGTATTAGGCAAACTTGGCCGTCAAATGCAAGCTGTCAAATTCAATTCAATCCTAAGTCAAGCGTGAGCAAACATGAGAACATTGGCTAATTTTAATAGGGGAAAGGGAAAGATTTTGTGTAATGTACCCAGTGCTGCGTCCATTGCCATAGTAGTCATGATAATTGTTATA